AAGTATATAATACAAACTTAAAAATTGCATTTAAATATTATAAGCTGTACTACCAGCTATAGCTATAAAATAAAAAAGAAAAAAACGACAATATAATAAAATAAATAGAAATAATACTTTATATATACTATAGTACCTGCTTAATTACTTTATAAATACTTGCGCTCTTATTCCTATAAGTAAAACAGAATATTAAAAGATATTTTTCTGTAGTATTTATAGTAGTTCCTTAATATTTCTAAAAGTCTATAGCTATAATACAGCTTTTATCTACTTTATATAGAAATTCTAAAAATACAAAACCTTCTTTTAGTTTTCTGCTTAAAATTAAAACTTTAAATATTAAAAAAAATTGCTGTACTACAACATCTTATATAGGTACCGTATAAATTAAAATAAAAAATATAATTAGCTAAAAAAATAAACTTAGCATATTAAAAAATTAATATTTTTAATTTAATTTAGAAAAAAAGATAGTTTAGGTAATATATACCAAAAACCCAAAGTTATAGTAAAATTCTTTAGTATAACTATGCTTATATTCTTATTTTACTAAACATATTATATTTTTTACTTTAATAGTATATATTTTATTAAAGCTAAAGCTATTAAATTTCTGTGCTTATAGCACTTACTATTTCTAAAGTTTTAAAAATAAACTTTAAAAATTATGCTATAGTGTCCAAGATCTAGACTCTGCTCTATATAAAATATTACTTTTTTAAATTTTAAATATTTAACTGCCTTTTCTTGCATATTATTTATATTTACTAAGGCCTAGCTAAATATTTAAAGTAATACTTTGTAATTAATCTTTTAGCATTTCTATTTATGCGCTCTACAGCTTTTAGGCTATTTTATTAATTTATATAATTTTAAGCCCTAGCATTGCTTTTTTATTTATTTACAAAAAATATCTTAGTATAACTAAAGTACTTAGTATAATACATAGAAATACTAAATACTTACTTTACTATACTTAGTAGTTAGCATAAGTTAATATATATACTTTATTACTATTTTTCTATAATACGAAAGTTCTATTATATTAAAATAATATATCTATAAATTTAAATATTTTAGTAAGAAAATATAAAATATATTTATAAATTAAATTAAAACTCTATATATTAGCAAGTATATCTTAACCTAACCTTGTTATTTGCGGTAATATATAATAAAATACAGTTTATACTTATACAACTATTCTGCAATTTAAAAAAGGACAAGTTAAAAAAAGTAAGCAATTTATAATATAAAATAACTATAAATATTGTCTACAAAGCTTGTTATTACCTAGCTATATATACAGATAATACTAAAAAAAACAACTATATAAAGCTCTATTAAAGCTAAGTATTATCTATCCTAATAATTTTAAAAGAAATTCTAGATACTATTCCTCCTATATTAGAGCTTAGAAAATATTAAAAAAAACAAAAAATTTACTTATTATTACTATAAAGAACGTGCATTGCTAGCCTAATTATTTATATTTTTTTACTTTTAAGCTTTGCAAAGAGTACTAGGCCTAGTAAAGCTATTTTTAGCTAGCTTTGTTTTTTTAGTTTTACACAGACGCTTAGCCTTGCCTTTAACTTTAAAAAGCAGCTTAAAGTTAAAGCCTATAAAAAATTAATTAAATGCTAGTCTAAATATTAAAAAAATTAAAAATATTTATTTAAAATAGCGCCTTTTGCTTTGCAAGCCTTAATCTGCATTTTTACAACTTTAGCCTTTTTATTACTAATATTAAATATCTGCATTTTACTTTTATATTAGCTATAGTTCTAAAATATACTAATAATATTAGAAAAATATACTTTCTTAAATAACTAAAAGCTAAATTCTATTTTCTAAACTTATATAATTATCTAGGCAAATGTACTAAAGCTTAGGGGACTAAGTATAGTGCATTAAAAAGTAAGCTTACTATACTAAAGCTCTAATTTTTATATATATAATTAGCTAAAAATTAAAAAAAATAATATTTAGAATTAATTACTTTTTAAAGCTTAAGTATTATATAGTAGAACTTAAAGCAGGTAGCCTAATACTAAAATTATTAGCTTCTATCCTAATAAATATTAAAAATTCTAAAAAAAAAACTTATAGTGTAGTTATAGCTATAGGGCGCAAGTAGGCAGACCTTAGTACTATCTAAAGTATTATTAAAGTCTAGCATTAACTAAATCTAGTTAAAAAAGTTCTAAATTATTTAAAATTTTTTTTAAAAATACCTGTAATTTACATTGCCCTTTTTATAATAAATATAATAGTATAGCTTAAAATTTTTTTTGCTAGCGTTGTAAGACTCGTTGCTAAAAAATATAGTACTATAATATAGTAAAATTAGCAATGCCTGTCTGCAAAGCTTGTAAGTACTAAAATTCTAAAATAAAAAAATACTAAACTAAAAAAAGCAAGTAGAAAAAAAGCAATTTTGCAAAGTAAGTTAGTATAATTAAAAATAAAAAAAGCAGGGAACTATAGAAAATTTAAATATACTTACTAAATACAGTCTTTAAGCAGTCTACCCTAAAATATATTAGCTAAAGTTTAAAAAAAATAAGGTTACTAAAAAAAAAAATTTAAATTTATACTTTTAGGAAGCTCTAGCTTTTTAGCTTATATAACTATATATTTGCTTTTTGCCCTGCTATACGCCGCGTTAGAATAGCCTACTATACTTAAGTATTTTAAAAAAAATAAAATATTTTTATTTTTTTTTTTTATTAGCATAGGCATTAAGGGCAGAGGCGGCAAAGCTTTAGAATTTTTAATATTTTTATTTTTATTTTTATCTATTACGCGCTTGCCTTTGCTTTTGCCTTTTTTAATAGCTATTTTTTTTACTACTTTTTTTTTAGCGCTTTTTCCTATAAATCTATTAAATTTAGTAAAAAGCTTAAAAATACTACTATTTAATGCTTCTTTTTTAATATTACTAATATTACTCTTTTGCCTTTTTTAATAGCTATTTTTTTTACTACTTTTTTTTTAGCGCTTTTTCCTATAAATCTATTAAATTTAGTAAAAAGCTTAAAAATACTACTATTTAATGCTTCTTTTTTAATATTACTAATATTACTAAGCCTTTTTTTAAATTCAGCACTTTGCGTATTAGAAGGCTTAAACTAAAAAAAGCTAGCATCTTGCACTTTTATTTTAAAAATATTAATATTACTAAGCTCTTACCTTTGCTTAAAAACTAAAAAATTAAAAAGCTAAAGCTTAGAAAAACTAATATTCTGCAATTTTTAATTAAAATTATTAATATTACTAAGCTTTTTTTTAAGCTTAGCAAGTTATAAGTAAAAAGGCATAAGCTTAAAAAAACTAATATTCTGCGCTTTTTAAGCAGGATTATTAATATTATAAAGTTTTTGCGTAAGCTTAAGAACTGCTAGGCTAAAAAGCAAAAGCTTAAAAAAACTAATATTCTGCGCTTTTTAAGCAAAATTATTAATATTTAAAAAATTTTTATTAGTTTTTATAATAGACTGCAAATAGCAGAATAAAAGCTTAGAAAAACTATTATTCTATGCTTTTTAACTAGTAATATTAATATTTATAGCGTTTATTGTAGTCTAAACAGCAAACTGCAAAAATTAAAAAAAAAGTAAAAAAAAAATAATGCTAGAAGTAGAAATAAGTTAGTAAAAATTTTAAAAAAAGCTAAAAAGTAAAAAAAAAAGGCTTAAAATATCTAAAAATAAAGTAAAAAATTCTAAGTGTAAATAATAAGCAATGCTTGCATTGCTGCTATAGGCGCTTAATATAAAGCTTTAAGTAAAAGCAAAAGCTAAAATAAAAAACTTTAATAATATAAAAAATTTGCTAAAAAAAAGCAAAGTAAGCACTTTACGCCTAGTATACTTTGTATACTTTTAAAATTTCTAAATTTTTAAATTAAAATTATAAAATATATAAATATAGTACTTATTTTTTAAATATACTAAAGTTGCTAAAGCTAAAGCTGCCTATATTTAAAAATATAGTATAGTAGGCGCGGAAAATTAGCATATTACTAAAATTATAGTAAAAATATATTAGTTTTATAAAAGTTTTTAGCAAACTTTTTTAAAATTATAGGCATATTAAGCTAAAAATTAAATAAAATAAAAAAATTTTTATGCAAAGCGCATAGGATTTACAATAATTATAATAAAATAGTTAAAAGCATTTTAGTAGTAGTAGTAGTAGTAATAGTAGTAGTTTAATAATAGTATATTTACAAAAAGCTTAGCATAGGCTTATTATATTATTAATATACTTTTTACTGCTAATAAAAAGTAAAGTATAAAATAATATTAGTAATATTAGTATTTAGGGCTACCATTTACCGTAAGGCACGCCTAGAGCCTTACCCCCGCTCTCTAAGCGTGCCTGGGCCATCTCTCGCACCAGTCCTTGATTCATGCACATGCAGAGTCATTCAGCGTCTGGGATCTGATTTGCTCCAGCTTGTCAAAGCGTGGATGATGCCCGGTGCAACTTCTGTCGCTCCCAATTGAGGCGCGAACGAAATTTTAGCGATGGACATTTAGTCGATGGCATGCCAATGATGCTAGCATGGGCTTACTACATAGAACGCCGCAATCTTCGGACACCTATGGGACTTGCGTCGCGATAGGACAATCTTGCCACGCATCCTGGGAGCTCTGCCGTAGCCAGCAACCCGACAAGCTGGCACAGCGCTGTCCAACCCACGCGCGAAAGATTATCTACATTGCGAGTGGAGCAATATGCGATTAGAGCATGACGCTTAACGACGTTTCGAAATCCTCATATCTACTCACGACACCCTTTCCCCACGAATAGACCTAACCCTCCCAAAAGCTCTCACGACTACAACGTCTCCCGTCATGTCGTTTCGAAAGAAATTACATCACCGAGGATCACCTCCTCCACACGACATATGCGATGATGGCCCTAACATCCATTTTTGTCCTCGCCCGCATTGTCACCACCCAGCTCATTCGACAAAAACGATGGATACTACAAGACGCTATTGTATACTTAGCCTACCTACTCTACATCATCATGACCGTGCTCTACATTCTCGTCATACCTATCCTCTTCAGGCTCACTGCTGTCGGTGAAAAACGACTGAAGTCTTAGCCAACGCTGAAGGGCGAACATAGGTTTATGGTCAAGGTATTCTTTGTTAATAGCATGATGCTTTGGTTCATTCTGTGGGCCGTCAAGTTCTCATTCCTCGTATTGTATAAGAAATTGATGGAAGGGCTACGCGACGTATATATCAAGTTATGGTGGGCTGTTGCTGTGGGCTGCCTTCTGGTAAGTTAACTCCTTTGCATCCTTCTGCAACAACGTTCTAACATATAAGTCTCTCGTTGGTGCTGTGACCTCGCATAGTACGTACTTTCCGTTCACGAACTACGTGTGAGACAATACTGACCATGTATTCTAACGTTCAGTGACATCATGCTCCAGTATGAAAGCATGGTTCACACCTGGCAAATGCCAAACACCTCGCGACATTCTGCTCAGATTGCGAGTTTGTACTACACGTACGCCGTTGATGTCTTGACTGATCTAATGAGTATGTACTACTCGTCCTTAGTACCTAATCAACTCTTCAGCTCGGTAGCAGGCTAACATACCATGTCAACAGTCATGGCCCTTCCCATCCGCCTGATTTGGAACCTCAAAATGCCCCGCACACAAAAGATCGGCGTCATAGCCCTCTTTGGCATAGAACTATCCTTATAACTGTTGCAACTCTGCGCGTTATCCAAATCGGTACAAAAGCACGATCCAGTAGCTAACCCAGTGCTTCGTTGCTTGCACTATGGGACACTATCGAATGCTCCACCGCTGTTATCATCGGTTGCTGCCCCGCTTTCGTGTCCTTGATCCGCAACCGCACGTCACCCACCGTTTCTTACAATACGCAAGGCTTTGTACGGCAGCGCGGGAATTGTGGCCAAACGGATGCAAAAGGTCCTGATGATGTGAAGCTCAATAGCATTATAACCGCAACGAGCGCAACAAAGTCCAGCTCATCAAGAGGCGAAATCGCTATTGAGAAGGTAGATGGAAGGCGTTTTGAGCTAGTGAACGGAGGAAGAGATCTAGTTGAGGATCTAGTACAACATAAGACGGATGGGCGCAGAAAAATTAGGGTAGGGAGGGGAGCTGCATAATCAAAGGCGTCGTCTACTATCAACGCAGATTTCAGCCGCTGTTGGACTTGTTTAATCCCATCCAGAAGTCACTGATGAACGCTGCGACTTGTGGCGCTCTTTCTCTTACTACACCATGTCCGACTTCTGGAACAACAGCGACATTTGCGAATCCAAGTTCTTTGAGCTCTTCTTCGCTACACAAATCATCCTTTGCACCTAGGACCACAAGTGATGGAATGCCAGTACGCGCCGCTCTGACGAACTCGGCATCCTTGTCCATGACACCCCCGTCTCTAAACACTGCAACAACAGTTGCCGCATGTCCAGAATGCTCACGCATCTGCCAATCCCGGACAGCCTCAGCAACAATCTCGCCCCTCCCGACTCTTTCTCTCCAATCCGCAGGCACGACCAAATCCCCGCCCTCGAGAAACTCCAAGACCCATTCCCGTGCTGCGGCTTCGTCATCGCCGCGCAAGTGTCCCTGTTCCTCGGCCGTGAATTTCGAAGAGCGAATGAGTCCAGCTGGTGCAACAAGGGTGAAGCTTTGTACCCGTTTTGACCGCGAGACTACATAGCCTACTGTCAATGCGCCACCGAAGGAGTATCCTACGAGGTGAGCGGAAGGCCATTCCAATCGATCTAGTAGAGCATCTAGCAATTGATGGAACAAATTCGGGTCATGTGGGAGAACAGGCGTGTCGCTTAGCCCGTGACCCCAGAGGTCGACCAGTACCAAATGGGCGCCTGGAAACTTTGCATGCAGGGCGCGTGCGAGTGGTAGCATGCCCAGAGCTGGAGTTTGAACGCCGTGAATGAAAAGGACACGATCGGGTGTATGCGAGCTGTCTCCGGGCGCGAGAGAGAGCGAAGAAAAGCTGTGAAGCTCATCTAGATCTCCAGGGGCAGAGTGGTGGGAAGGGAGTACCTCATAGTATGCGGCTCTTCCGTTGACTGTGTTTAGATACTTGGCAGGCGGGAGGAGTCTGCCAAACACCTTCGTAAAGATGGCCTCAGCCGGGCCAGGAATTGGTGCTTTTGGGCGCGGCAGAACGAGATTGTCTAATCTAGGAGACATTGTTGTATGGAAACTTAATTCGGATGGAGATGCGGCTGCTCGTGATGCGGCTGGCTCTTATGGTGAGGAAAGAGTAAATAAGCGTAAGCGCGCTTACAAATGCCTGGTAGTCCTCAAAGTGACCAATTATCACGACTTTTAGAGCGAAGCCTCCGGCATAATATCTTAGAGTTGAGACGTGTCGACAATTGGCGGGTAGATGGCGTTATCGCGATTAGTAGAAATCTCGGCCCGATACGAGTTTGCAGCCGAGAGAGCACCAAACTCTGGAGAACCTTTTTTCATACTCGAAAACTCGGAACCTAGTCTACATTACTTGATATCAGTCTTGATTTTCCACAATAATCAGAAATACTTTCTGAACCAGGAACATATGCACGAATCTTGCTTCAAAAGTTGGCTACTGTCACTTGAACGGCATCGCCCGATCTTCGGCGCCGTGTATTATCATAGCCTTCAAGTGTCTTAGAAAGATCATTCGCGCAACCTCGGAACGCTTTTGCTCTCCTCCTCTAAAATCTAATGATTACAGTCTCACACTCACCGCCAAAAGTAATAATGAAAAGGCGTCCACTATAACCCCACTTTCGGGCAGAAATAGACTACATAGTTTCGTGGTCAGGCTGGCGTTATCCACAGACACCAGTCTAATCATTGTTATGAGCGGGTTGTTCGCCCGCAATGTGATGGTGTACCTCTTCCTTTGCACTGTCAATTGAAACCCTTGAACATCTAACTAATTCCTCTTGAAAAAAAATGCATAACACCAAGAGCCTTGTCTCGGCGCAGTTGCACCGGTGAATATGCCCAAAACCGAAATTGTTACAATAAATTCCAGCTGCTCAACGAGCTCCAAGACAAATCTGACTCCCTCGGGCCAGGGAAGAGTTGGGATATCAAAAGGCGCTATAGCGGGGATAGTCATCGGCTGCGCGATTGTAGTAATGCTACTATTGTGCCTGCTATGATTCAAGTGTGCGCGCAAATGGCGTGGAGGGGAGCTGACTTCTTCAACGGATAAGAGGATCGATGCGGCACAGTAAGGAGTAGCTTATAAGATAGAAGCCGAGTTCATGGGCCATGACATGCTCCACAAATTGCCCGCAAAGCATGGTCAGAGTGAACTTCGAGGAAGAGGAGACGAGGTTCATGAGATGCATTCGGGCGGTCTATATCGACATTGAATAGACAAACAGGGCGGCTCATAACCAAAGAATTCTTTCTCTGGAGCGTAGCTAAACAAAGTGGCATCAGTACAGATACAAGTAGGCAAACCCCAAAGTACGTATAATAGAATAGTTGCAAGCGTGCAAGTAGTGAACTCAAGACTTTGCTAGCTAATAAGTATATCTAAAGGTCGCTTCCTCTTGGATCATCTCACCCCTCTCATCAGCAGCCCGATTCTTCCTCCTGAAATGGAAGAACATGACGACACACAAGATGATGAGCAGGAACTGGGTAGCAACGGCACTAAATCTTTGTCAGCCCAAGGTCGGCATTTCATTTATACGTGGGCATGATTTACCACCATACACCTGTTCTGTACGTCGGAAACTCCTTCTGCATGAAAGTGGTACTCGCGTAAATGCCCCCAATTGCCGCAAATACGAACTGCACACCATTTGCCACACTCCTTCTGCTATCACTCCTCACATTGTTACTCTGAAATGCAATGATAGTGGGCAAATTGGCATTGCACCCACTCACGCCCAAAAATACTCCAAAGTACCTTGCACCTGAGTTAGTGGAATACGCGACTGTGAGTAGACCGGCGAATGTAATGGCGGCGTTTATGAGCATCCATGGCATACGGAGGCGCGTGCGGTCGGCGAGGTAGGCGCATAGTACAGTCCAAAAGATGGAGACAAGGTAGGGCGGGGCGCACAGGAGAAAGACCAGGGCTGTGGTGTCAACAATTGTGCCGAGGATGATCTGGATGAAGTAGGCGAAAGCATAAATCGGAGCTGAGCACGTTAAAAACCTGTGAGATCATTAGTTAGCAACGCCTCGATAACTATGTAGGTGGATGTTGCAAAGATAGGAACGGGTAATGTGTGAGTTTTGCCGTGTTTCGAAGAGTCTTACATGAATCCGTACACCCAAAGTTCCCAGTTCGCAACATGGTGTCGAAATTTTGCCCATGTAAGTTTGTCGGGTTTCGAGTCGCGACGATCGCGATCAATGCGGTCCAGTACAATCTCAAGCTCGCGCTGGGTGAAGCCTTGAAGCTTATTACTCGAAAGCATAGTATCTGGGAAGCCGATGACTAGAAAGTAGCCGATGAGGGCTATACCTATCGTAGCCGCGCCTTCAACACTAATTGCACCATTAGCACACTCTCTTGGTCTCAGAGTCCTGTAACTTGCATGAAGATCCACCTCCACCCATCAATGCCATGCACGCCGTCCAATTTTACAATCGCCCATGCTAGTATATTCCCAAACGCACTCACAAATAAATTGATGAGGTACCACCATGACATGCGCTGTTGTATCTCAAATCGCTGATACCATGTACTCAGCAAAAACATGCAACAAGGTAAGAAGCCTGCCTCTAACACCCCAATGAGCATGCGACACACTACGATTAATCGCCAGTCGTTTACGAAGCCCATGCCCACCATCACGACACCCCAGCTCACCGCAAGCCCATTCAAAAGGTTCTTCGGGCCGATTGGTCGCAGTAACAGCGTAGTTGGCATCTCAAACAGACAGTAAGTGATGAAGAACACTAGCAGGGCGATGGAGTAGCGATCTCCAATATCGAAGCGCAGATCGGCATTCATACCTGCTACGCGAGCATTGGATAGGTTGACGCGATCGAGGCCGGCGACGGAGTAGAGAAGACCAAGGATAGGAATTAGGCGCCAATCGACTTTGCGAAGGACCTTTGCTTCCAGCTTCTTCTGGTCGGGCGAAAGTTCATCTTCAGGCTTGAAACGGGTATTGGTCTGTTTGTCGGGTCCAACCTCCTCGTCGAGAACTTCTGCTTCTTCATGACCCGCTTTTTCAGGTGTTAAATCGAAACGGAACATCTTGGGAGTTGGTGTAAGGTGAATCAAGGTGAAATGCTCTTTGAACAGACGTCGGAGCTTGTCATAACTCAGGTCGACGAGGAGAGCAACGAAGATATTTGTACCACGCTAGTTTCACACTATTGCCCGCTCATGCTGAACTACTCGGCAACGGGAAAATGAAAAGGTACGTGATATCGTACAACACCTTCCTTTCGTGCTGCACGCTTGCCAGTGTCTGTTGCCATCGATCAACCTGCGTCTATTCCCGTCTTGGCAGTGGGGGTCAGCATTCGATTACCATTTCACTGCCAATGGAATCATATTGTGGCTTGCAGACTCTCATCAGGGAAGATATATGGTCAATCAAAACCTATTCACGAAAAGGGATCGACATACCCCACGGGATCACGGAAAACGATTGCGGGTGAGGAAATCGATACCCGTAAATGCCGTTAGCCGCATTGGCTGAAGATCCATCAGAGGGGGCGACCCCCAACACATATAAGGGCATTGGCTTCAGATGTTAATGAGGGAAGAAGGCTGTCTCAGTTGAAGCTTTGCGGGGTTTCATCATCTAGGTAACTTACAGTCGCGACCAACTGACCGGTCCGGTTTGTGCACCCTTCGGTGGTGTGTCTAGCTATCGTAATCTAGAACAAGTTTGAAAGCTATGTTGAAGTATTGGCCACAAGATCTTTTGAGAGATATCTGGCCGAGACAGTAGAAGAATAAGCGAGGCGGTAGAAAGTAGAGAAGGTGCGAGAGGGTGAGAAGCTCTAGGAGTTCCCTAGATCGGCACTGCCACCTGGGGATAGTCGCGAAACCGCCGACGATTCTAGCATCGCGAGCATCGCGCAAAGGTTAAAGTTCTGTTTAATCCGACGGGAATGGGACCAAAGAAAAGAGGGTGAGGATGTAAAAGTCTCCGTGGACAAACTTGTAACTTAGACCTCAGGAATAGCGATTTACCCGACCCGACGGCAAGCAGTAGCCGACCCTAGCTTAGCGCGATCGCTAAATTTCAGCCGCATCAGGTGTTCCATCCCCTCCTCACGCAACCTTGAAACACTTCCCAACAACCTTCAAGATGACTTCAAAATCAGCTGTAATAGCCGTCATAGGCTCTCTAAATGTCGATCTCGTAACCCGCACACCGCGCGTTCCCGTAGGCGGCGAAACGCTGACCAGCGAAGGCTTCTCTATTGGCTGGGGAGGAAAAGGCGCCAATCAAGCTGTTGCCTGTGCTCGACTATCACGGACCCAAGCCCAGGCTCAGTCCTCGTCGCCTTCCGATGTCGAAGTCCGCATGGTGGGTGCTGTGGGGGATGACGAGTTTCATGAAGGTTTCTTGAAGAGTCTTAAGAATGATGGATTGAAGGTAGAGGGAGTAGAGATTCTAAAAGGGAAGAAAACGGGAGTTGCAGTCATCATTGTCGAAACAGGGACGGGGGAAAATAGGATCATGTTTTGTCCTGGAGCGAACTATGATGTTGAGGCTAAAGATTTGGTGGATGACGATGCGAGTGTTGCACTCTTTCAGTTGGAGTTGCCGTTAGAGGTGGTGCGTATGAACTTTAATGCTCGGCGAGGTTTCTCTGCTGATATGTTGATGCTAGGTCCTCCACAACATGAAGACTGCACGACAAAAAGGCGTGGAAACAATCATTAACCCCGCACCAGCCATCCAGCTCCCGGATGAAGCCTACCAAGGGCTGGGCCACCTTATTGTCAACGAGACTGAAGCCTCAATCCTTTCTGGTATTGAGAACCCTACCTCGTGGGACAAGGTCGCCGCTGTCTTCATTGCCCGAGGCGTAAAGAATGTCATCATTACTCTAGGAGGCGAGGTAAGCTTTACACCTGCATACTCACTAGCTGATTGCTTACAAATTTCAGGGTGTCTTCTATAAAACAGCAGATCAGCAATCTAGAAATGAATCAGGGGTTATTGTCCCGGCGCGAAAAGTCAAAGTAATCGACACGACAGCCGCAGGCGACACCTTCGCCGGGGCCTACACCGTTGCGGTTGCGCGCTGGAAGTCAATGTCGCACGGAGCCGACTTCGACCTTAATGTAGCTATTACACATGCGAACAGAGCTGCGTCAATGACGGTGCAGAAAGCGGGCGCACAGTCGAGTATCCCTTGGGCAGACGAAGTACCAGCAGCGTAGTCAAGAGAAGAGGAAATGATTCGAAGATGCAACTACAGATCGTCTTTTCCCATTCGTTTGTCACCTCAACTTCTTTTGATCCTGTCTGAAAGGCACAGCTGCTGATACAATATAATTTAATAGCCTATTCTGGGATCACATACGATAATCAACTGGCATACCTTAACTAGTAATCCTTTTCTATTACATTAACATTCTAGTTTACAGGTTTCTATTCTATTATCTACATACGAAAAATGCCCCTTAATTCGGCAGGGTCTCCGATAACCTTCACTCCGCGAGTTTGCTCTTACCATCCTCCACATCAGCCTCACTGGCTTTCGGAGCCTCACCTTTCTTAATACTCCTCCACTCCAGCATCAACGAACCAAGAATCATCGTAGCACCTACTGCCGCAGACAAAATGAATACGCGGGTTAACGAATAACTGTACGCGTTGATGACTGTATCGATCTCGTTTGCTGGCACCACTTTTCGAAGATCTGTTACTCCAGTGTTGACAATAGCCTTGGTATCCAGCTCAGCTATGCCGGACAGCTCCTTTACCAGCTGTCTTGAAAATATATTCTGCCCAACAGCAAGGAAGACAGAGCCGCCGAGCTGCTGCATAAAGAACATCATCGCAGTACCGATCGCAACGTCTTTGCGTACTAGGACGGTCTGAACCGCGAGGTTGGCAGTTTGAGCGCCAAAACCTAATCCCACGCCATAGAGGATCTGATACCCGATCCACTTTGCACTACCAACACCTGGTGTGAGCGTTGATAGCAATCCAGCTGCTACTGAGGCAATGACGGGTGAAGCAAGCATCGCAGGGACGTAATAGCCGATCTTTTGCGTAAAAACAGCGTTCAGAATGCCAAAGAGAACGAGTGACAAGACCATCGGTATGGTTCGAATACCAGCCTCCATGGCAGATTGACCTTGTGCAGCTTGGAACCATATTGAGAGGTAATACACAGCACTCATCATCCCGCCGCCTAAAAAGAAGACGAAGATCATAGAGCCACCGACCGACCGATTGAGCACGATACGTGGGGGAGCCAGAGCGGTGTCTGGCATTTTCCATTCCACGGCTAAGAACGCGAGGAATGTAACAGCAAAGGTGACGAGTAGGCCGATGACCTTTGGTGCAGACCACGGATATGTTGTACCTCCCCACTGAAGGGCAAGGATTAGGCAAACCATGGACGGGATGAAGAAAAGGAGGCCGAGAGGGTCCAGGCTTTTGATTTGGGCGATGATGGGCATCTTTTCCTTTCGCGCTGCGGGAAGATGCAATAAGACAAGAGCGCAGACCAATGCAAACGCTCCGATTGGTAAGTTGATGTAGAAACACCATCGCCATGTCAAGTGTCTAACTGTGGTCAGCAGGGACCTATCTGGAGCTTGTAATGCGACTTGAAGAAAGGAACACGGTGACTTACGGGGAGTCCGTGAACGAGCCACCGATTAGAGGGCCCAACACCGATGACACGCCAAACGCAAGGCCGAAAAATGAGGTGTATATTGGCCTTTTGCGAAGAGGAACCAGAAAAACTGTGATCATGATGGCTCCACATCCAATGCCCGCTGCTCCGATTCCAGCAATGGCGCGTCCGATGATGACTGGAAAGAATAAGTCAGTAGATAGCTCATAAGCGTCATCTCTAAGTTCTAACTTACGCGCAGGACTACTCGGTGCCGCACCACACAGTGCACTTCCGACTTCAAAAATTACGATTGATACAAGAAATGTCCGCTTAGTATCATATAACTGATAAACCTTGCCGAAGAGCGGATTGAAGATCGCGCAAGTGAGCATGTACGCGCTGCCATACCAGCCGATGTCTTCGATCGAGTTGAAGGTGTTCGTGATAGCAGGAATAGCAGTCGCAATAATCGACCTGTCTAGTGCGACAAGGAAAAAAGATAGGTACGCGGAAGCGATTACAAGCCAGAAAGCGGGGGAGCCTGGGTTATACTGCGCTTCGGCGGGGTCGGGGTCGTTTTTCGAGGTTGGTGTCGTCAAGGGACGGTTGTCGACAGATGCATCTCTGTTGTTTTCGTACGACTCCGAGTGAGATTCGTGCATAGTAGAGACAGAGGCAGAGTCTCGTTTCTCCTCCTTACCCACCGACGGTAGCTCGAAAGGTTTTGATGGCATTGCGTGTTGGGTTTAGGGAAGAAATCCTGCTGGAGGCTTGTATGAGCTACATCGCATGACAAGGCTCTCCTTATGTAGGTAATTTGAGCGGTAAGTCAAACAACTCCGAACCAGACAGTCGTTAGTCTTGGTTGCGGTCGGGGAATAGACATGTCCGGGTGGCAGGTATTAGACCCCGAAGAAGAAAATTAGTTAAGATAAGGTGGTCGGAATGCCTTAAATTCATTTTTCGAATGCTGAGTATACGCAGCGATATGTCTTAAAGATATCCAGGCTTTATTGTTGCGGTTGAAAGTACTCATCGTCATTATACAGTGTAGATGTAATTTCGACAACGACAGGCGAGATCAGGATGAGATGCGCTAGCAGCCTTACAACCCTCCTTCCGGACAGCTTATCGCCGAGGACTTAGAAATTCGAACCGATTCTAGGTGCAAGCAATAATAGAGGGTGGCCCTACGGTCTAGGTCAAGGGCGTCATCGCTAACACACAAAACGGGGATGATTGCGGCTTGTCGGGAATAGCTAATCTCCGACCTCGGGTCATAGTACAACCCGAGATTGTTTCCTACCCTCCCGTGTCCCTCACCATTCCCTATTTCTGCCTTCCTCGACAGCCACAGCCCCTCAGCCTTGCAAGCAGATAATCTCTCGGCCTCGCACACCATGTTGTCGGGTATACCCACGCCCGAGCAAAGCGCCGGAGCTCTCTCGCCGCCAGTAATAGCACACAAGCCGCAACGAGTACTCGCTTGTGTCATGTGTCAGCAACGTAAGGTGAAGTGCGATCGCAAGTTCCCCTGTGCCAATTGCATTAAGAGTGGTACACAATGTGTTTCCCCTGCGCTGGCTTCACGACAACGTCGTCGTAGGTTTCCCGAGCGAGAGCTGCTCGATCGCCTCCGATACTACGAGGACCTACTTAGGAAGCACAACATTTCATTCGAGCCCCTGCACGCATCTGGAGCAGATGGAACATCACCCGATGCGGATAAACTACCCCATTGTACCGTAGATGATATAGCACCACGAGGACATGCTTCGGTAACGAATGGATCGGGGGGAGACATGGTGACCCGTGTCCCTGAGTACCAGGCAAAGTATGTCCTCCTCACCAGCTGTACATGTCGAGATCGCTAAGCTTTTCCTAGGAACTTTTGGCATGCTATGAATCGAAGAGTAAGCGGCTTTTGTAAATTTATGCCTGGGGCCCTACTAATGCGAAGACCGCAGTCTCAAAATTCCGATTGTGATGATAGCGAGGACAGCAAGGACGACGCTAATGATAACCATCACGCGCCATACCTTGTCCGTCAAATAGAGGTTAAAAAAGCATGGGATCAGCTGTACGACCCCAATGAATACCTTCTCTTCTGCTCGCGTGATGCCAGTGTCGACTTGTCGGCCTTACATCCGAGTCAAGCCCACATCTTCAAGCTCTGGCAGATCTACCTCGACAATGTCAACCCATTACTCAAAGTCACGCACACGCCTACTCTTCAACCACGCGTTATAGATGCTGCAAGCGATGTGACAAACATCAGTCCGCCCTTGGAAGCACTCATGTTCGGAATCTATTGCGTAACCGTTCTTAGTCTCAGTCAGAAAGAGTGCTACAATCTCTTCGGCACATCGAGACAAGACATACTGAAAGGCTATCAGATAGGAGCTAAAGAAGCTCTCCTCAACTGTGGTTTCTTAAGATCGAGCGATCGTGACAGCTTGACCGCGTTACATTTCTATCTCGTAAGCTACCAGCATTGTGACCTTCCCGAGCTTCAGTCTGACAACCTTAGATCACTATCAAGCCTGCTACAGACCCTCGATCCCTGTCTTCGATGCTTGGAGTAGCTTTACGAGTCGCCCAGCGAATGGGCATCCATACTGAGGTCGCCAATACCCGGCACAATGTTCTTGAAGCTGAGCTGCGCCGAAGACTTTGGTGGTCGCTAGTTCTTTTCGATGCTCGAGTATCGGAAATGACAGAATTCAAGCTTGGGATGTTGCTGCCTACTTGGGATTGCAAGGTTCCACTGAATGTAAACGATTTCGATCTGCGATCAGAAATGAAGCACCCACCAGCAGTGTACGGACAATCCTCAGAAGCCTTGTTTGCTGTTGTGCGCAGCGAGGTCGGTGATTTTACTCGAAATAGCTCTTTTCACTTGGACTTCATTAATCCAGCACTAAAGGCTATTGCGAGGCGTTCTTTGATACAACCTAGTTCAGATGAGGATGAACTAAATGCCTTGGAAAGAGTTGTAGAGGACAAATATCTCAGCTCATGCGATCCAGGGAACCCACTTCACTTTATGACCATCTGGACGGCTCGAGGATATGTCGCAAAAAGTCGCTTTGTGCAGCATCTCTCCGCCGGCTCAGCATCGATGGACAACCAGACAGATATACAGCGGGACGCTGGTCTTTCCTATGCGCTCAAGATGCTGGAATGTGACACAAAGCTCATGGAGGCAGATTCAATAAAGGGATACCGCTGGTTCATCTATCTACAATTTCCCTTTCCGGCATATGTCCACATCGTCCAAGAATTGAGACAACGACCTCTCCGACGTGATGCAGCGAAGTGTTGGGAAATTATGAGCAACAACGCCTTGGCTCGCTTTATGGACCTCGAGAAGATAGACAATCCCATGGATAGAAAAGACAACCCCTTCTTCAAGATCTTTGCTGGAGTAGTCCTCCAGGCCTGGGTCGCTCGAGAGGCCGCAACCGCGCAATTAGGCCCGCCGGAGGTACCACCGCAAATTGTTTCCATGATTCAAAAACGATTGGAGTACTTGGATATGGATGCACAGGACAAACACACGGTGCCGCATGAGCATGGCATAGTTACAGCCATTAACAATCCTTTAGCGCCCGTAACAGTAGACTTCGGTGGCTTCGAGTCGTTCTACGGCGTCAACAGCGAGGGTATTACAAGCTCTGGGCCTTTCCCGAACGATCCCGCACAAACTTCTTTGGGCTTCGAAGGCAATCAATGGGGTTGGAATACGCCGAATTGGAACTCCATGCTCGGGCACGGTTGGTGAAGCTGTAGTTACCAATGGTGTGTAGTTACAACGCGCTGTACGTATAGTTGTTTGATATATGTTTTACGACGCCGATTTAAGACCTGAATCGGGATGCAATACTTCTCCTGTAGACCTCCCTGAAACCACAACACAATAATTGAAGCTCCTGATTTTGACTTCCTCAAAAGTCTTGACCATGTTTTAACATTGCCTTCATCATGATAAGATCGCCACCCTTGGTCACATAAGTCCATAATCGAAATCGTCCATCGGAACCGGTTCCACTAAGCTCAATTCACCAAACTCACTGCTGACCTCATCATCAACGTTGTCGTCTTCTTCGCCACTACTCTCTGGATTCTCACTTGTGCCTCTCCCGTCTCCTTTAAGGGTAACTTTCTCCGTGACTACCATAGAAGGCCCAGTCTTCTCCACCGAATCTAGAGACGTCATAGTGTTCTTATATTTGCTTTCTTCCTGCTCCTCTGAAGATATTACGGCTTCTGTTAGTTGAGGAATTGTGGTAGGTATTGAGACCATTTTCGAAGGGATCTGGCGTGGATTTGAGGCGGCGACAAACTCGTTGACTGGGGGCGAGGAGGTATCATTTGCAACGGCAACCCGCAAAGGATCTGATCCTGAGACAGCATAGTTGTTGAGAGATGGTTGCAGAGCTGTACGTGCATAAGTCTCCATTGCTATGGTACGTTGAATCGCTGGCTGCTGGGTTGATCTAGCCTGCTTTATGATGGTTGGTCGTTGAGACGATGATCGTTGATTTAGGTTGGGCATTGGAGGACTCTGGTTGTCGGAAACGTTGATGAGAGGTTGTGGGCGGCCTTGGTAAATTTTCGCCGGCGTTTCTTTCGAGCTTTGTGTAGACATATTTGGCTGCTCGTGCTGAACTTCGCGCGTCTTGGCCCGCTCCTTCATTTGCTGTTTCTTTCTCTCTGCTACCTCTAATGCCCGTTCTTGCTCAGCAACTTTGTTGAAATTCAAATCGTCAAAGCCAACCTTAGCCAGGATCGTACCAACCAGATACCGATATCTGTCATGGCCGCTCACCAGTTTGCTCATATCGAAATTCTCAATACCGTACACATCTTTGACTTCTTGCAAGCCCGCAACACCAACCTGGAGCTTTGCTGATCGATACAGGAAGCCTAATACGTAGTCTTCGGTGCTGTAGACGTTCACTACGCGCGCTGCAACGACAGATCGGATTTGCCTCCACCTCTTGCTACCTACTGACGCTGGTGTACCCATCAAAATAACGGATTCGACGAGGCCGAAAGCATGTTGATTAGCGAGTTCGACAAGACATGCGTAGATTACGCGTGCCCCGATGGAGTATCCCACTAGAGTTACAGGGCGTTTTCCTTGTATACCATCGATGAGCGCATGTGCCAGAACTTTACCAGCCTTGTCTGCTCGTGCAAGGGCAACACTAAAAGGATTGTCGAGCACACTTGCGACCTTTACGAGGCCCAAAGGCCAAAGCCCAGCATACAAGGCGCCAAGAAGCGTGCGACTGACGACAGTATATGTAACGCCATCCCACGCATAACTGAATAGTACATCGTTGAGTGAGTTGCCAAGACGAAGCATTGCGTCAAGTTCAAATCGCAACGCAAAGGGCTCGGTAGTGGCGCTGTCAATAACTTCCCAGGGCTTGTTGACGTCGGATGGTGAGCTTAACCAGCCGCTGATGCCAATGCACACTCGCAGACGGTGCTGCTCGCGCTTCCTTGGGTCGCGAGCGTCCTGCTCGTCGCTCCAATCCTGATCGCGCTGGTTTGAGGGACGATCGGGATCTGTTCTACGAGTTAGCATGACGATACGGGCGGGCAAGAAGGTTCAATAGAACATACCTTGGATGGGGACAAACTCGAAGTCCTGGACTTCCTTTGCATACTGATCCATCAATCTGCCCGTCATCTTCGCACCGTATGCCCCGAACAACGAACCGACAAGCACAGAGCTGCCTGCTAGTGCTCCCAGATATGTGGACACTACGCCTAGACCTAGCCCACCCATGACCGTACCAAGACCAGCAGCCAATAGCGGAGCAGCAAGACCACCAGTCATTCCAATGAGGACAGCACCACCCACTGCAGCGAGACCAACTTTCCACCTCCGTGTGGCGGCATCATTAGATGTCTGTTTCTTGGTGGTCTCTTCGGCATCCATCTGAGAAGCAGCAGTCGCTAAGAGTCCTTGGGCCACTGATTTCTCCTGCTCAGCCAGTACGTCAGTCTCTACATCTAGGCTGCTTGCAAGGTGTAGTAGTAGAACTCGCGAGTGGGCCGGGTAATGTTCCAAACTCAGCAAGAGTAACAGAAGGCAGTGTAAGATCAGTACTCGCTTCTCGTGTTCAAAAGCCGAGAGCTTCGTCTGGATAGCATCGTAATGACCGTGCTTCCTCCTTCCGCTTTTTGTCTGCGCGTCACTTGTGAACGGATCGTCGTCGCCGAAGTCGATTAATGATGAAATGCTTTGTTTCTGTTTCTCCACTGCAATCAAAGATTGTTTCCTCTTGGCCTTTTCCTGCCTAACGACATCACCCCTCACACAGAGCACATCGCATATACGATGCATAACCCCTGCACGCCATTTATCAAAAAAGGTGAGAGCACTCCTCCGCAGAGCCTGCATTTGCGTAGACTCCACTTCTTGCTGTCTCGCGGCCACTGCCGTCTCTTCTCCTTGCTCGTCAAAGCTTATAAGGTCCTGTGTGTGTGCCCTTGCTTTAGTTGCGGCCGGAGCAGCCTCAGCGGTCGTTGTCCGTGTCCCGTGCGTCTTGCTCGGATCGAAAGTGGCTAATAATTCATCTCGCATGGAATCGGTGCAGAGTAGTACTAGCAAGGCTAGCTCGACGCGGAGGGTGGGTGTTTCGAGGACAGAGGTGAGCGAGGTTCCTTCGTCTTTAGTAACGCTTTCAGGGCCAGTACCCGTAACAACATTGGCAATCTTGAAGAGCATGATGCGCTTGAAGGTAATGTATAATTTGACCCGGGTTGTAGAAAGTCAACATAATCGGCGAGAGGGGGGAGCAGGCAGACATGGTGTACGGGCTTCGCCGCATAGGGCGCCTATTTGTCGCACGATCCAGTCAGCGCTACGGTATCGATTCTAGGTCTACGCCTATGCCTAGGCATTGCTCAAATGCAGAATTGGGGGGGCAAGGGTAAAACTCCGGCCGCGCCTCCTCGCGCTTACTAGTAAAAAGCTAGTTTTAAATAAGTACTAGCGTACTGCACAACTTTTAAAAGTAAATTACTTTTTTATTATATAATTCTATACTAGGAACTTTAAAAATAATAAAAGTGCAAAAGTAAATAAAAATATTTATTCTATAATTTAGAATAAACAATAATTTTTAAAAAAAAGCTTAATATATACAAAGTATATTAGAAACAAAAACAGTTAGAATTATAACTATTTTTTTATATACTTTCTAAATACTGCATATTTTTAAAAACTAAAATTTAAATTTTAATATAAATAAGCCTGCATTTTTTTTTAAAGCTTTTTAAAAAGACTAAAAAAGCTAGCAAAACTTTTTAAAAATATTAAGTATTTTAAAAACAATTGCCTATACTTTTAACTCTTATATTATTTGCTATTAGAGTAGTTCCCTATAGCTATCCTATATTTACTATAAAAAATATATCGTAGTTTCTATGTTTAAAAACTAAAAAAATTAAAAATATAGCCCTAAATGCTTATTTTTACTTTAGCCTAAAAAATATAGGTAGTATATATATAAGCTTTACTTACTGCTAGTCTTAAATATTAAGCTTATACTAGCAGATATTATACTATTTTTTATAGTACCTAAGATATTAAAATAAAAAAAACAGTACTTATTTCTATTATTAATATAAAAAAAATAAAATATAATACTAAAGTAGTATTAATATTTTAAAAGCAAAAGCTTAAAAGTACTAACATCCCCTGCTTATATAATAGAAAAGTTTATACACTTAATTAAAAAAAAACAAAATAAGCAAAAATAAGTTTTTTATTAGCTTTTATAAATAATATACTTAAAAATTCTAATATATAAATAAACAGCTAAACTATAATTACAGTTTATAAATGCACTAACTTCTACATTTTTAGCTTAAACTATTTTCTAGCATTATTAATATTTAGTAAAAAAAGTTTTAAAGTGTCTAAAATTCTCTAAAAAAATAGTAGTAACTTTAGTAGCTACTCTAATAATAAAAAAGCAAATATATAAATATAGTAAAATTAGATTTAATTTTTTTGTATCTACTTTAATAGGCAGCAAATAATATCTAAACATCTTTAATATAAGTTAAAGAAGCTTATAAATACTAAAGTTCTAAAAAAATAGAATACTTAGCTAAAAAAAACAAATAAGAAAAAAGCAATACTATAAAGTAAATTAGTATATTTAAAGATATACGCAGCAAATACTTATAAATATAAAAAATATATATACTAAATCTATCTTTGTGTATACTAGGCTAAAGTATACTAGCTAAAGCTTAAAAAGAATAAAATTGCTTAGAAAAAAAATTAAAACTTATAATACTCTAAAGCTAATTAATCGTCTAGCACAGTTATAGGAGTATAAAAGGCAGACACATAAAAAAATAAATTAAAAATATTAAAAAATAATTTTTTTTTTTTTTTAAAATGAAATTTAGCTTTTTTTAAACCAATGGGTAATATAGTAAAATACTTCTTAGTAAATCTAAAAAAAAAGATACCTTAAGTTATATAAGATAC